TTCTCTCCATCTTCATAATTTTTTTTCAATTGTGACAATTTTATACTTCAAATATATAGACCTTACTCTCTTTAATTGTGACTTTATAAGTACTTCAAACCATGGTTGTCAAATCGTGTATCGTATCCATGGTTGTCAAATCGCGTATCGTATCGTGTATCGAAAATCTAATTTTTCGAATCATGTATCGCGTATCGTATTGTATCGTATCATAAGATACGTATTTTTCAAAAAAATTAATAAAATAATCAAAATTTTCTAAAAATTAATATCATCCCAAGATTAATTAAAGAATTTTGTCGTATTATTGGTTCTAAATTATGATATTACATAATCAAAATTAATTACAAAATTAAGAATCTATATCATTTTCCCTCAATTTTTTATATCATTTCCAAGATCAATGTCAATATCTACTTGTATTATTATTATCATGCAAAATGGACAACACATGTTCCTCTTCATTTTCTCCATGCAAAATGGGTAAATCTGGGCAGGTTTAAGTGAACCGGGTTGGGTGACCTGGTTCTGACCCGAATTTTTTTTTTGGGCCAAAGTTAATAAAGTCGTATCGATTTGTATCATATTTTTAAGGATACGTATCATATTGTAAGATACATATCAACGTATCAAAAGGTTTAAGATATACTCTTTGATACGTATCGTTGGTGACCTGTATCGAATCATATCGTATGATACGTATCGGGTATCGTAGAATACTAATAACCATGATCATATCGTTTATCGAAAACCTAATTTTTCGAATTATGTATCATATCGTATCGTATGTAGGATACGCCTTTTTCAAAATTATTAATAAAATAATAAATTTTTTCTAAAAATTAATATCATCCCCAAGATTAATTAACGAATTTTGTGGTATTATTGACTTTAAATTATGGTATTACATAATCAAAATTAATAATTTATATCATTTCCTCTCAACCATTCATATCTCTGCTTATGTTATTATTATCATGCAAAATGGGCAATATATCTTCCTATTCACTTTCTCCATGCAAAATAAGTAAATTTGGACAGGTTTTAGTGAATTGGGTTGGGTGACTCGGATCTAACCCAAAAAAAAAGCCCAAATTAATAAAATTGTATCAATTTGTATCGATATTTTTAAGGATACAAACAAATACGTATTGTATTGTAGGATACATATCAATGTATCAAAAATTTTAGGATACACTCTCTGATACGTATCGTTAACAACTCATATCGAATCGTATCGTAAGAGACGTATCGCATATCATAGGATACTAATAATCATGCTTCAAACTTATATATAATTTATTTAACTAGGTAATAAAGTTTGGATTAATGTCAAAATACTGTCTCATCTGGTGACAAACAAAGAGAAAAACTTTGACAATGTCTGGTGCAAGGAAGCAAGATTCTCTCTTGATCTAAGCTTTTACTTGAATAAATAATGATTTGTGATTAACAAATATAAAATTTAGAAATATAACAAACAAATAGATCTTAAACATAAATGAATTAAAATGCATAATGCATGAACCGTGAAGCTTATAGCTATATTTGATTTATTTATTTTTTTGAAAATATAATTTCTAAAAATAGAATAACGAATTATAACTATCGTTATAACTTTGAAATGTACAGATAAACGATAGTTTGATTTGCTCACACACGTGTTTCAAAATATGTATACATAGGAAGAAGTAGGTGTTTGTTTCCTATTTTTCCCCTATTATATTCCTATCATTGCCAAAATATATATTTGTTTCCTATTTTTCCCCTATCATTTCCAAAATATACATTTGTTTCACTATTATGAAAATATTATTATATTTTTCAATTACCCATAAGTTTGTTAATTTAACTAAATACCCCACAAAAAAAGTTTAGAAACCAACAAAAACACCCCCACCACCCACATTTGTCAGATTCCGACCACCACCGCCAAAAGGTGGCCGGTTGTCTGTATTTAATGGATGGGTGGAGGTGTTTTTTGTAATTTTTAATGTTTTTATTACAGGAGTGTTTAGTAAATTAACAAACCTAATAATGTTTTTGTTAATTTCTAAATTCTACCTCGATATTACCACTCAATTCTTACTTTTTCAAAAATACCATCCAAAATACTAAAACAAACGTACCTGTAATTATTGTGATTTCGAAGAAGACAAATATTTCAGTCACAAAGAAAATAACGAATTAACGAATTATAACTGCCATATAATAACAAAGAGCAATACTACTCTTACAAAGACAAAAACAAAGATGTCATACAAAGACAATTTCCACCCTTCATCTTCATGATTTCTCTCTCTCTCTCTCCCTCTTTTTCCGTTTTTTCTTTGTTTTTTTCCTTCTTGATGATGTCACTTTGTAGCTCTCTTTGTATTGTCTTTGTAAGGATAGCATTTTTCGATAAAAAAATCTCCTATACAACGAGTGTTGGCACAACCAACCTTTGAATGTTACGTTAACGCAACCAATTAGGAAATATCACGTCAACGCATGTCATACATGCACCATATGAATGATTGTACCAACATTTGTTGTCGTAAAGAATCTCTCCAAACTGATTTTTACGAGTAATTTAATTGGATAGAAATTATTAAATTAACATAAGAGATGTTCAATTTAATTTTGATGATTTTAAAAGATTTTTTAATCTATAGTAATTTCGATAAAACTTGAGGTTGTATAGAATATTATTTCCCCTTTTAGAGACGATAAAATTACCTGCACTTATATTTTCTTGAGAACCGATCATGTTGCAGTTTACATTTAATATAGAAGTAATATGAATTTACACTTGAACTCAGAAACAGCTTATAGATGATTTAAAATATTCACAAACAGTATTTTTATAATTTGTCTAGAGTCCAATTCTACAATTTTTGTACCCTAGATTAAGACTAATACAGTAAAATCTCTCTACATTGATACTCTATATAGAAATAAACTCTACATAGTCATAAAAAAAATTATTCCTATTTTGGAATAGTTATAAATAAAAATAAACTCCACATTATAATAAATTATAATTATTCTAATTCCCGTCTTAAAGAAAGTTGTCTCCACATAGTAATAACTTTTTGTATATTGTAAAAAAAAAATATGTTATGTTACATTAAATGTTTAAGATAAAATAAAATATTTATTTAAAGTTGTTTAAGACAATGATTTATGGTTTAAAGTTGATACCATATATTTTAACCTACGGCTACATTACTCGCTAGCATGAACATCTTCTTGTTGAAGTCAAAATATTTCTAACGTTTCAAGTATGTTTAGAGCTTCTTGGCACGAAATTTTTTGTATCTCCACACTATCATACTCATGATTATTTCCTTTCTATTCTTGTCTAATTGTAGCAATAATTTCTTCTTTAAATAAAGCATATATGACTTGTTGTTTATTTGGATGATTGAGAAAGATATTGGATGCGTTTGGTGGATAGGATTTTGGGGATAGTATTAGATAGTTGGATAGGGGAGTATTACGAGATAAAATTTAAAAATTTATGAAAAAGCCCTCAAGGTTTGCTAATTTAATAAACATCCCAATATATTAAAATATTATAAAATGACAAAAACACCCTACCGCCCGCAATGTCAGATTTCAGCCACCACCGTCGGAATCTGGTCGACAAATTGGATAACCACACATATCGGTCAGATCTGGCGGGCCTTCGACGGCCAGAAAATGCCATCTTTGGCCGTCAGCGACGACCAAAGATATGACCATCGTTTCGCTGACGGCCAAATCTAGCCATTACCAGCCATTTCCGGTGGTAGTGTGACTGTTATGACAGATTTCGGCTACCACCAGCGACGGTTGTCGGAATCTGACAAGTATTGGTGGGTAAGGGCGTTTTTGTTAGTTTTTAAACTTTTTTCTGGGGGGTATTTAATGAAATTAATAAACTTATGAGGTTTAAAAGTAAATAAAAAAAATAGACTAATATTTTGGGAATAATGTGCCAAACAACATTTGAAGAATAGGATTGGGAATATGGATAAAAACAATAAGCCAAACACACCTAATAATATTCATTCGATTAGTATAGTAAAGTTGTCAAATATAATCACTTAATTCTATTATGACTCTATGATTCTCCTCCTCTACTTAATTTGTAACTTGTAATTCATCGACATCAGAGGTCCTAATCTTGCAATGTTTAAAACAATTGACAATTGTTTGTGGCTTCACATCAATTGACCATGCAACAACTGCATTTACAATTCCATCAAAGACACTTATATTTGTTAGTTCCAAGACATGATCTTCTATCAATTTCAAAAGTAGGCAATTAAAGCGTTGAATTTGAAATCCTAATACTATTAAAATGTGATTTAAATCATAATATTGTACTACTAAAACATGAATTATAAAACAAATAAAAAATTGTAACTACACCTCTATTAAATAATAACCTCCTTATAGTAATAAAATTAGTTAGTCCCATAATTATAACTATAGAGAGGTTTTACTGTAATTAGATATATTTATAATTCCATGGATTTTAAGGAGAGTTTAATAGTGATTGGAATTATCAACAATATTCACTCGCAATTTGTATATATAAGGTCAAGTTAAGTTCAAGAGATATTCAAATCTATCTCTTAACAGTCTTGCTCTTAAAAGTAGATAAACATCCCGGTTGTCACATAATTAGATCGGAAAACATATTATAACAAGCTTTGTTTTGAATAAAAGGTACAAGATGAAACCAATTCAATAAATCTAATGAGTAATCTCAACTGGTGTTTAATAGGAGAGACACAATAAAATCTTCAGTTGATATCTTCTCAAGCCAAATTTAAAAAAATAATAATAATAATTCTTTTGCATAAAATCATACCTTTACTGAAAGAACCTGCACTGAGATTCAGCTTTCTGAAGAAAGTTAACATGGTTTGCTAATTTCAAATCATACTGGCTCACGCCTCATCAATTGCCCCAATGCTTCCAAAGGAGCATATGAGAGCAAATTTGTATATCAATTTCAAAACAATTGAGCACCAAACTGCGGAATTTTATGGGAAAAAATTTGGAAAAGCAACAGAACAACCTAGTGTGGCTCCAAGAACAAGAGATTGCCAGTCTACATAAAAAGAAAAAAAGAATCTTATTTATATGAATGTAGACTAGTGTTGCATTAAAGGAAGGACATATACAGATGAGGCCAAAACACAGCAGCATGAAGAATTTGTACCTTTGTGATGGTATCTGTCCTAAAATCCAAATAGAATGGAACCTGATTAAATGAGTTAGAGAAGCTGCATCTTCTAGTAAAGCAACATACAAACATTTCAAACTTAAATACTCAAGAGATAAAGTCCGTCATTACCATCAGGTTACTCATTTAGTGATGTCAATTGCTTGTTTCGAAACAATCGCCACCTCTTCTTCTTCTCGTCTCAAATTCAGGCTCATCTGGAGAAGCAATGGCATATATGAGCATTGTTAATCTTTGAAAAACTACAAATAGATGAAAATGGTCCAATAATCCGGAAGATAAAGACATTAACATGGTTTCAATGGGCGACATGCCCGTGATGACTAATGACATGAACCCGAAGAAGCAATGAACCAAGCCTGGTAGTCACCTACTCATCCTAAGTTACCAAAACAACTAGGCAACATATCACAAAACCTGGTTGTCTGGATAATCCTACTTAGTCTATTTTGTTTAGGATCGGTTTGAAAGATGAAATTCAAAACTTGTTTGACAAAGCTCTAATTACTACAATGGTGTGTGTTTTCCAGATGATAGAAATCTGCAACATAAGACTGAAAAAACAACATATAGTTTGTCAGAATCATATAGCCTCTTAGTGACTGAATAACACCCTTCCCTAGCCCTGAAATTGATTATATTCGACGTCGAACAAAATTTTGAGGTCAAATAAATAGAAATTGCAGATAATTGTCTGTTTTCAACACAACTACTCTAGCACCTCAAAAACAGTCTTGGGACTCTCAACTCAAGTCCAGAGAAACTCAATCTTCTTATGTGAGTAAAGAGAAAGCACCAGACATGTCCAGAAGTACAAGAGTGGATATTTACCTTCTGGTGGGCATATAGAGTTGTAGTGCACCTCAGCCCAAAGCTCAGATAAATTACTGCCAGGACACATAACACAAAGTTATCGTCAATTTCCTATTGAGAAACTCAATGGTAAAATTGTGTAATAAAGAAATTCTTCTATTCCTTTAAAAACAGATTTCAGCTCATGAATCTTTTAATCAGCCACATTAAGAGTACTAAACATAAAAATGAGAGAAAAAGAAAAGGAGAATAAAAGCTGACTGTGGAGGAAATTGAAGCTCAAAGCAAGTGACCAGCTCAAAAGAAGATATCCATAACTGAAGTTCTAGTTAATATGGAAGTTTCTACAAAGAACATGATATGCTTACAATTATAGTGATGCATTTACTTCTGATAGTGAACATCCCACTCATTTTCTCCAGGGAAATTTCCCTCCATCGCAGTACAAAAAGTGATTAGCTTTTACATTTTTATATAACAAGTTTTCTCAACCATCATATGAATCTTAAAATGGAATCCATTTTATGAAGCTGTAAATAGGGTCCAATACATAAAATTGACCTCAATCTACACTATCCCATTCAATAATTTAGAGGGGCCTTACCTTCATCTGTGCAATAGGTTTCAATCATTGTCAATATAGATCAAGAGAATCAAAAAGGCCAGTCATGACACAGCGTAGGGATAAAATTAAAAAAAACAACATAACCTTATCTATCAAATGAGAACAGAGAGCTATCAGGAATTTTCTGCAGTTGCACACCCTTTGGCCCTTTCAGGATTTATTATCAAGAGCAAACAGTACCCTACAGTTTAGAACTCGAAAGTAAAGTTTAATATGAGGCTTTAGCCTCAGTTTGCCTTTCCATCTATTTCATTGTGAATAAAATGATAATCTCAATTACTAAAGTAATTAAAATCTATAGCATAAAACAAAATCCTGATTAACAATGTAAATACGTACAACAAGGAGATATGACTTACAATATTAACAACAACTAAAACAAACAATCCCTGTGTACTACAAAGTTTACCAAATTAATCAAACATTTATAGCACTAAACCATAAATGTACCTCGATTTGACCTGTCAACATTTGGGAGAATCTCAATATAGCAGTGTCCTTGAAAGATGTTATTACAAATATTTTCACACCATACTGAAGAATCATTAACTTATTAGGCAACCCAAGTAAATTAACCAAACACCAGCAAATTAGAGTGACGTCATTTGGGATGTTGATAGGTGCATATTAGGTTTAAGTGTGCTCACCTTACATAAATGACGTATTCAAGAATTGATAGCTTTTAGAAATAATATTTACTTACAATTCATCCAACTGACAAGCAGTTGAAATACTATGGAACTAGGGTACTGCACTACACTGGGTATAGAATGTCATATTTACCACAAGATGAAGCTGAATTGTTATTCACAACATGACATGAGTTCAAGATTATCAGACTGGGCACACAGGACTGCATCGTCAAGTAGGAGATATATCTCCTGATGCACTTCCATAGCATCCAAACCCAATTAATCCCAGTAGATATGAGCATTGAGCAATACTAATATCCTCTGTGTAAGTTTTATGTTCCCAACAAAGCCAAACACTCTCATTAATAATTGTTCAATCTCAGAAAAACAATAAGTTTGAAAAATAAAACCCTACCGAGACCCTTGGAAGGAGGAAAAATGGTTTGACCATGATGTTATAGAGGGTTCAAATCTTTCTTTTGTTACGGTTCCATGTGATGAGAATGGATTCTAGAATGCAAAACATTGAGAAAGAAGATTAAGGTTTTGAAGGGTAGTGACTGACCCTCAAAGTTCAGTCTTTATCTTTGTTTTTGCTGTACTTAGAATTGTTCCATTCTGCTTTAGGTTGCGGGTAGATGATAGAACATGATTCTCTGAATGTAATGTTCTGTTCTTAATATCAATATAGAGTCTATTTCTTTTTCATTCCTGTGCTTGCTGATTGTTTTAACTGGTATTGGATAGAGTAGTTGTGTGTGTGCTTGGTGGTTTAACAAGTCGGGGTTCTATCATTCTATATATTCACAATATAATATTATAAGCTAAGTCACGTGTTCTTAAGATTCATGTCCCAACCCTTCATAAGGTTGTAGTGCCTCCACTGAAAATTTCATGATTGGGGTTGTCATTACAAGCATAGTAATATAAAAAATTCTACTGAACCATTTTCATACAATTGGCAAAAGGAAATATGACCAAAGTTTTCCTTTAAACATCCGCTGCTAGTCTAGAAGCCATTTCAACAAACAACTTTAAAGAACTAACCAGATATAATGATTCACTAGAGAAAATTGATATTCAGAGTTATAAAAATCATGGTAATAAACTGGTTCAAAAACAAAAAAGCAAAATAAAATCATTCAGCATACCAAATCTGCAGCAGCCTGCAAAGTGACGTGATCACCCCATTCACCACTCCTACATTCATCCACATGATAGCAAAAGAAAGGTCAAGTTTTACTCCAAAACAAGAAAGTTCAGGTCAATTAAAAGTGCAGGGAAATACTTGGACATTCTCCAAGTAGTCACCATAGGCCATGGGAACATATCCCTCATATATCTCCAGATGAGACTTAAGCTGATAAATCATGATACAGTGAAACAAAAAAAAAATTACCATTATGAAACCCCACATTATTACGCCACCAAATACTCTGAACTCAAGCTTCTGACAAAGTTGCCAAATTTAATGTAATAAGCAAAAGCCAACCTGATTACAACTTGTTGCCTGACAATTCATGGTGCTCAGGAGTTCGATAAATTTGATCTGATAAGCGCGAAACTGGTGACATTATGGAATTAATGAGAAACATATGTAATGATCTTAAGCACCATATAAACTATTGTTTCTTCCTGATGCAAATATAATTATACTATTTCTTACCAGAGTGGAAAAAAAAACGCCACAGTAAATATTTTGTGAGCTCTAATGATAAGTTAAAAGCATTAAACTCTTGAGGAACATGTTTGACTTTTCAAGACCAAATGGGTAAAGCATAAGGTCTGTTAACAACAACAATTTCACAGACAGCAGCAGACATGCATGTTAAATAAGACCTAATTTACCTAAAAAAAAAAAAGCAAAACATTTGAAAGTATCCACAGTCAAGATGCAGAATCTGGTCTCACTAATGTCATGCTAACTTAGAATAATGTAAAACTTTTATCGAGAAACCACTGATCCTTAAAGCTTATACAATTCATCTACTACAATGGGGACTTGAACAGAAGATCTCTTCATCAACTTGGCTTCACAATTGATAAGAAGAAAATAATTGAAAGCATTTTGATAATGGCTAGTGAAGCAGTCAAAAACATGAAAAAACATAAAGAGGGCACAATTTACAAAACCGAGTGAGATAAAATGATACTGTGCGAGAAAACATATGACAGGGAGAACCTAGTTTGCTACACAAATTTGATCTTCCATTTTCACCGAAGAAAACAGTCATCAACCCAGTGTGCTGCACTTCCATTTTAGCAAATAATTAAAGGAATTAGACATTACAGCACAACAGAACCTAAGGCGCACCAAGACATACATGCTGAACTTAAAAAGCTAACCTGGCAATTCCCATCTCCTTGAACTTTGCATTCAACCAAATCATATACCTCCAATCTATAGAAGAAAAAGCTTTTGCTTAGTAAAAAATAAAATCATCCTATGACACCCTAATACCTAGCTAGAAGGATGAAGATCTTACGATAAAAAGGGAGAATAAGAAGAAAAAGGAAAAAGGAAAGTATCTGCAAAAATGTAAATGGGTGGAAAAACAAGACATGACACCTCTCCAATAGCCTTTGGTGGTCCAAAGTTGCTTCATCGATAGATGGTATTTCTCCATTAATTCTAGGAACATGCTGCACAAATGAGAAAACAAAGAAGACAAGTAAAAACAAAGAGTAAAAGCCAATTTCAGGCTGCAAAAGTGAAGAAGCTAAAGTATGTAACAAACATAGCCCAACCTAACCAACATGCCTGCAATGCTAGTACCAATTTTGTTGACCATTTCACTTGTAAGGATCTTGAATTATATATATATAGAATTGTCCACAATAAAATTACCGTTCTGAAATACTTACCTATACAATAAGATTAAACTTGGCAAACATGCTAAATGTCAAGTTTCCATACGATAGCAATCAAAAGTTACGGACTAGCAGGAGTACATTATCTCAACTCCAAGCATGCATAAAGATAGAAGTCACCTAAAGTTTTTCAGGGAAATAATGTGAAGGCATAACAGCAGTTCTTAGATGCTAAACTTACAGGAACAGGAACCATCTGATTCAACCTTTTCCCGACTTCACTATCAAGACCATACTCTTCTGTCAGCTCTAATGGATATGACCACTCCTCTCCACAGTATGACTCATCTTCGGGGGTAGAACATAAACTAGAAGGCTGTATATCATCTGCCTCTTCCTGGCCACTCTCCTGGCCTACAAATTTTGAACAAGATAAGCACAGTATACAAGAGTGATTTGCACTTTGATATTTTGCATTTACCAGAATAATAGTTTGTCACAGACTGGCTAAGCCACTCTTCTTGAAAATCAGGTACTTGCAAGTTCTCTTCATCCCCACCTGGAGAATCAGGTACTTCGACAACTGCAAGTTGTGATAGTTCTTCTTGAAGAGCACGAGCAATAAGCTCATCATATTCTACATTGCAACATTCAGTGTCATAATGATCTTCCCCGAAATGTTGTCCATCATAATAGTCCACATCATCTGGTGAAGTAGTGTCACCATACCCGCAATTATAATACGGATCACTTTCGAACAGTTGGAGACCCCACCAAAGAACATCTGGATCTTGTTCATACGTAATCATTTGCAATGTAGACAAATTCTTTAACTTAAAACAAGTTTGCTGCAATGGAACAAGGTCTACTCCCAAAATCAATATTGGTGGTAAGATACCAGGACGTTATTTTCACTTATTCAAAGACAACATATAGTCTGCCAACGAGTAAATACGGATTCAAAATTGGACCGGAAAATCAAATACTTTTACTTAAACTATTTCAAATCCTGAAGTAAAACACTTCACAACTGTCCACAATAAGTCATTTGAAACCTAAAAATTAACTACCATAAGTCACTCATCTAATACTTGGAAGCCTATCTAAACTATCATCCTCTAAAGTAGTAACTTGTTTGAAATAACATAAAATTCTGACCCAACTTCGGCCAACGTAAATACTTAAAAATCTCTTCATTAAATAATAATTTGACCTTGGTTCTAAAAATATATAGTTGGCAACAACTATAGGATGTACATTCCTGTCTACCCTAGTTGTATATACTTATCATGATAAAACTAATTCAAGTTTGTTACAATTTATTTGTAATTATCAATTACTTTGTATTTTTCTTTCTTTTTTTCTGGAAAAAAAAAAAAGAAAAAGACTTGCAAGCAGCATAGTTCCTCGACGTTAAGTGGCCCGTGCAAAAAGCATTAACATGATACAAATCAATTGTCAAGCTACCTGACCAACAATACTGCTTTAGACACGTTTTACTTGATAAAAGACCGCCATTGAAATTCAACATTATAAGCCAAAGTGAACTTCAAGAAATCTTAATTGTTTCAACAGGTCACAGCACCAAACTGAATGAAATCATTCAAGCCATCAAATATACAAGTATCACATTGACATCGTGCATATGAATATGAATATAAGCACGTGCGTTGAAACGATAATGTCAAAATTTAAACTAAATGTTAAAACCAATAAAGCGATCGACAAAGCTTCACAAAATAACCACAATGTAAATATCAGATCAATACGGTTTAAAAGCATAAAACAGCAACATTCAAAGCTAAAATTAAACAAATAAAAACAAAAATAATTCCGTAACTTAAACTACGGCATTACAGATCATTCGATCCAAACACATATTAAGCGACCTACCTCATATATTTGATTGTATTTCGGATATCAACAATTTAGTTGTATTTACAAATTACATTTGATGAACAGCGACTGGTGAGCGAGAAAGCGCCATCGAGACGCCACAGAATGAGAGAAGAGGTGAAAGATTACAATTAAAAGGGCCAAAACTAAGAGAAAATGAAAATGGTGAGTGACGGACGTCACGAGGCTAGTGATGAGTGAGTGTGGTGTCAGTGTGGAGTGGCTTCCGACAGCAAGTAGACACTGATCGAGAAAGTGAGAGTGACAGAGAGAAACGTTACTTGACGGCCAAAGTATCTTTCCTTCAATTTCGTTTGCTTCTCTCTGGTGACTCACTCTGTCCTGTTACGTCCATTTGTCGCGTTTCTCGTATGTATCAGTTTTTTTTTTTTTTTTTTTCTCTCTCTCTTTAATTATTATCATTTTTTTAATCTTTTTTCAGTGAAAAAAAGGTTTAAAATCAGATTTTTTAATAAAAGAGTTTCAATTGATATATCATATATCTATCCAATATGATTTTCAATTTTAGAAAAAATGTTATCTCTTAATTAGCTGATTAAACAGATGAATAAAAGAGTTTTAAGGGTTTATTTTATACAATATAAAATGAGTTAATATTTCAAAATATATTTAATATATTCTAAAATTAATTTTAAAATAATGAGAATGAAATAAATGTAAATTTATTAATTTTATTTTCCTAATCTTCAAATCCAAAAAATTCTTTCAAATAAAATAATTTCTTATATTCTCCTAAGATTATGTGGGGAAATGTGAGAGTTGCTTCACATGGTATTCATTAACATTTAACACGCCAATGTGGGCACACAGTGGGCCAGGCCTTTGTTAATTTTGTAATGTGGGGGATTTGGACCGCTAAGAGAATTTGATTAGGATTTAGGTGGGAGTGGAATAATAAAGAATTAATTGTTATGGCCGATTAATTAATTTTCAGTACGAAGTTTTACGGTTGAATGAACGTCTTTCTCAATCTAATATTATGACTACATATCTTATCCCCGCTATTGATTGTGACCATTTAGAAAATAAAATTTGGACTGTGATTCACCTAAACTCCTAAAGTCTCAAGTTATTTTTAAAAAATTTATTCACTCCAATTTTAATTATTATTTTGTGTATTGGTAATTAGTCAGATTATTTTTGTTGTGCGTGAAATCTAGAGGGGATAATTCCTTATTAGGAGAGAAAATATCTAAATTGGCTCAATTTGGAAGGAAAATATTACTTAGACTCCAACTAAGGTAGCCGAAGATCACGCAACTTTCTAATTCTACGTATTTGAATCTTATCTCAACTCTATCATGTAAATAACTATTATATAAACCCATCATAACTTGTTTTCAAGGAGGCTGGACAATTGTTTTAAACAAATTTTTCTAGGAATTATACTGTTCTTTATAAGCTCTCAAAAGTAATAAGATAACAGTAGACATAGGCTGAAGTTCTAACTTGTCGAACCACTTTAAAAATCTCTTTGCCATTTACTTTATTGCATTTATTAGTCATCCACTACTGGTTATCCGTAATCACGCGCACATCCATTCTGGTTCTGGCAGGGTTAATCGGAATTCTCTGGTTGGTGCAGATTTCTGTATCAACATTTTGGCACTAGAAGAAGGGTCTGATTCACATCAGCTCTCCATGTTTTTCCAGCAAGTCTCAACTTCTTCAGCAAATCTTAGCTTCTTTTTCTAGAATCACGTTATCAAATGTGAAAATTTGAGCAGGATAAAGTCTGAATCTTGTTAAGCAGTAAACACAAGAATTTTATCCCTTTGAGTTAGCTTTCCGACGGTCTAAGAATCACCAAATTTGAGGTCTGCAACTCAAGTTATCATCAAAATACTAAAGTATGTTCCAAATTAGAGCTCTCAGATCACGTGGCCAAATCGCTCAGATCGCGCGCTCAGATCTCTTAGAGTAGAAAGAGCTTGCTAGCTCTCAAGCTCTCAAGCTCTTGAGCTCCCAAGCTATCGAGCTCTCAAGCTAGCTCTCTAACTCTCAAGCTCTTCTCTAACTCCCAAGCTGTCGAGCTTTCAAGCTAGCTCCCAAGCTATCGAGCTCTCAAGCTAGCTCTCTAGCTCTCCATGTTTTCTAATCGAGATATGCTCTCAGATCAAGCTCTCCATACTTTCTAATCGAGTTATGTTGTCAGATCAAGCTTTCCATGCTTTCTAATCGAGCTATGCTCTCAAATCAAGCTCTCCATGCTTTCTGATCGAGCTATGCTCTCAGATCAAACTCTCCATGCTTTCTGATCGTGCAATGCTCTTAGATCAAGCTCTCCATACTTTCTGATTGAGCTATGCTCTCAGATCGAGCTCTTCATACTTTCTTATCGAGCTAAACTCTCAAATCAGGCCCTCTATGCTTTCTGATCGAGCTATGCTCTCAAATCAGGCCCTCTATGCTTTCTGATCGAGTTATGCTCTCAAATCGAGCCCTCTATGCTTTCTGATCGAGCTATGCTCTCAGATCGAGCCCTTTATGCTTTTTGATTGAGCTATCTTCTTAGATTAAGCTCTCTTTGCTTTATGATCGAGCTATGCTCTCAGATCAAGCTCTCCGCGCTTTCTAATCGAATTCTTGGCCCTCCCAGATTGAGCACTTTATGCTTTTTAATAGAGCTCTTTATGTTCTCAGATCGAACTCTTTATGCTCTCTGATTGAGCTCATAAGCTCGCTCATTCGCTTGAGATTACGGGTTCAAGATCTCTCATATCTCTTAGATTGCACCAGGCATAATTCAAGCTCTTCAGTTCGAGACTGCAGCCTATAGTGCGACATCCATCCAAATCTAAACCTGCAAACGAATTGAACTGTTCGCGAATAGCTCGATGTTCGTTCGATAACTATTCGATGTTCGTTTGATAATATGTTCGATTTGAGTTCGAACATAGGATGTTCATTCAATTATGTTCGCGAAGACACTGCGTTTGACTGATCCATCCATTCGCGAACAATCTGTTCGATTATTCGTTCGTTTATGTTCAAAAAACATGGTATACATTATTATATATATTTATATTTTTTTCTTTTTTATATTATGTTTGGTTTAGTTTGGATGAATTTTTTTTAATGGTAATCAATAATAAAATATTATGGTGCTTTTGTTTTTCTTATATATATAATATGTTTGGATTTTTTTTTTTTCAAATGTCATCAATAATTAAATATATAAGTATATAGCATTTTAATTAAAAAATAATAAATTATTATGATACATAGCATGACAAATTTGATAACATAATAGATTGTATAATCAAGTGATATATAACATAGCAAATCTAATAACATAATAGCTTCATATTTTTCCAAATGTAATCAATAATTAAATATTATGAGATAGCATTTCAATTAATAAATAATAAATATAGTATGGTAAATTGATGAACATAACATATTGTATAATCAAGTGATGTATAGCATGACAAATTTAATAACATAATAGTTTAATTAAATATAATATGATAAATTGATGAACATAACATATTGTATAATCAAGTGATATATATCATCACAAATTTAATAATATAATAGCTTAATTAAATATAGTATGACAATTTTATAAACATAACATATTGTATAATCAAATGATATATAGCATGACAAATTTAATAACATAATAGCTTAATTAAACCTAAATTAATCACATATTTATATTGATCATATATTACAATAGACCCTCATACCACTATAAATTTATGGGTATTGATACAAAATATATATGTAGATAATAATGATAATATATATAATAAATTAATCACATATATGTATTAATCATATATTACAATAGACCCTCATACTACTATGAATTTATGGGTGTTAATACAAAATATACATGTAGACATTTAAAATATTTAGTATAATTATGTAATTATATATATATGATAACCTATAATTTTGGTAATTTAATAACATATTAAACATATTTAATCTATGATTAATATATGTATGATAATAATTTTATATATATAACCCAATAACCAACAAACTAACCTGGCCAGCCCAAATTTTAAAACAAAAATCTAAACTCAATTCCACATTTTCCCTTACCCGGCCCAAAATCCAAATCAATTCAGTCACAGTCCTAATTTGGTTAATCGAACGAACTCAAGAGCGCTAAGTTATTCGAACGAGTTATTCAAACAGATATTTACAAGTTATTCAAACGAGTTAATTGAACGATTAATCGAACGATCACGAACTGCTTGTTTGGTTAATCGAACGAACTCGAACAGCCATTCAATGTTCGTTCGAGTTTGAACACGATTTCAAACACCCCTTTGTGCTTATCGAACGAGTTTCGAACGGGGGTGTTCGTTTTTGTTTGGTTTGTTTGTAGGCCTATCCAAATCAAAGACATGCGTTTTTTAAGCGCGATTACACACTCCAAAAACTGGGGGGCTATTGTTGTGCGTGAAATCTAGAGAGGATAATTTCTTATTAGGAGATAAAATATTTAGATTGGCTCAATTTGGAAGGAAGATATTCAGATTGACTTAGACTTCAATTAAGGTAGCCAAAGATCATGCAACTTCCTAATTCTACGTATTTGAATCTTATCTCAACTCTATCATATAAATGGGTAATATATAAACCGATCATAATTTGTTTTCAGGGGGCTGGGCAATTGTTCTAAACAAACTTTCCTAGGAATTATAATGTTCTTTGTAAGCTCTCAAAAGCAATAAGATAACAGTGGACGTAGGCTCAAGTTCTAACTTGCCGAACTACTTTAAAAATCTATTTGTCATTTACTTTATTGCATTTATTATTCATCCACAGTTGGTTATCCATAATCACACGCACATCCATTCCAGTTCTAGCAGAGTCAATCAAAATTCTCTGGTTGATGTAGATCTATGTATCAACAATTTTATTATTTATTGATCCAATATTTTCTAGAACCATTGTAATATAAAATGAACATATAAGTGTATATAAGAATTAACTTAATAAATATTGAATAGATAAACATGATATTTAGTCAAAAAGATATGTCACATCAGCTTATATACAAGCATTCCTACTTTTGTAGGAAAATTTACTTAATCAATCCTTTTTTTTTTTAACTGAAATTAAGAAATGACTTTATAATCAAGATCTTTATTAAGGATTTTGGACAAAAATAACTTTATATCCATTTCAAAACATTACAAGGATGTCATAGATCACACATCTAAAGCTCGTGCGTCCAAGTGAAGTCACTCTTGGGCCATATGAAGTTTTTCCTTCATAATAAAACCCACTTGTAGGCCAGAGTTTGTTCATCTTCATG